ACCATACTGATTTTCATTAATAAAAATATGGGTATGGAAAGAGGGTGCAACACTTCAAATTATAAAATTGATTGACAGTTGAAGCACTCTGGTATCGTATTGCTAAAACACTAATGAAGAAAGTAGAAATTCCTTTTATTGGAATTTTTCAAAATTTATTTTTTCCTGCATGCATTTCTAAGACTATCTCATTTTTCAATACTTTCAGCACAGATTTGATTTTGAGGAAAATTATCATAGGTTAACAGCCAGTGCTGGTTATAGCGCTAGTCTGGAAGGTTTGGGTTTATGGTGGTTTTTTTTTTTTTAAGCAAATGAGAATTTTAAATAAAACAATATTGTTTTTAGGAAGGATGACCTATCTCAGGGTAGTACCAAAATAAGAATACAAGAAGTTAAAGAAAATTATACACCTCACCCATATTTCACTTCCCAAGGTATAACAATGCTTTTAATATGTTTTAAAAATCTACCTCTAGGCAAACTTGTTATTTCAACATATCCATGTGAAGTCAGGTCATGACACAGATTACCGAGATGATATTCATCTGCTGTTGCAAAGGCAGTGCACTGCATCAGATTCTGTGCCAAAGGAATAAAGATTTGAGTTAGGGAAAGGCTGAAGCAAGGTGTTCATAAGACATTTCTTTGGCTCAAATTTATCAGAGTGATATTCTTCATTTATTCGCTCTTTTCTACCGTAGCATTGCCATGCTGTCCTTCCTCCCAGTGTACAGATACGACTGAGATCAGTTAGTACCTGTTAAGTGGGGAAGCAAACACATCCCAGTTTCACAGACGGAGACCAAACCAAGTGGTACTTAAGTAAGTTGCACCAAAAAACTTTGTGATAGAGTCATAAACTGAGCCCTTCTCTTCCTGAATATGAAGCAAATGCTCTAACAGTAGAGCTATAGTTGCTATGACTCTCCCTTCCTACAGCTTGTGACATACTCAGCTGACCACTGAAACCAACAGCAAGACACTCCCAATATCAGCTTAAAAGAACAACGTTCTAAAGATATATTGGGTTAAATGATCCCAACTTCCTTAGTCAAGCATGAGCTCCAACTGCAAAGCATCATGTTCCTCTGAGCACAAAGCTTACTGCCCAGGTAACTCCTGGAATATAAACCATCCCAACACTGTAGCACAGAAAGTCACAAGTCTTCCTGGCCAGTTGTATTTCCTGCAGATCTACAGCGTTGTCCTTTAATCTTGCACTGACAGTATGGTCTCAGTTGCAACCATAGCCAGATAGTATGCAATAGCCAGAGTTTGTCTCAATATTCCACAATATTAACTAAAATGCTATATTGAGACAAATAACTGGCACAATGTAAAAAGATGAGGGAAAATGATATTGTCACACGCAACGAGAACTACTCATGCGTGGCAAAGAAACCAGAAAGTCATCTGTGTAAAGACTTTCTTGATCAAACAAGTTGCAATAAACTGATTTACAAATTCTACTACTCATTTTAAATACTTTTTTTGTTCTGATACTATGTATGTCCTATGGTAATGTTTTTCAGTACAATGTAATGGAAGATACCCAGAGAACAACGCTTTTCATTGTGGATCAGTCACTTCCCAGCTTTTTGTAACAAATACAAAATGGGCATGTAACGAACAACAAATGAACAAAAGAACTGTACTCATCGGCAAGCATTTATATCCACAGCACACTTCAACCTACAATGCAAATGAAATTCTCACAACACTCACATACCATCAAAGAGCTATGCTTGAAAAGGATTCCTGCTCTTGAGTGTGTGTGGCACCTACTATCAATGATGAGAGTGAGAGCCACATGTTTAAACTTTTTCTCTTAACCTCAGCATTCTGTGATCATTTCCACAGCTTTGCTTATTTATCATTTTGCTTCATAAACACTAACAGTTGCATTATACTGCTATTCTATTTTCTTACTTTTATGAGTCCAGGAATTTATAAGAAAATAAACTTTAAAACTAATTTACAATAGTCAGTGAGCAATTTTGTAGGCATTTTTCCATGACTGTTGTACAAGGCTGAGTTAACAGTGGAACTATATTTAGCAGAATAACAGTGTAATTCTATTTTCATTTCACTTGCTAGCATTACCTTTGCAAAACTGCATTATCACACTGTTTGCTTTATAAATCCATTCTCAGTCTCTAAATCACCAACACAAACTATATATTTGAGATTCTTCTAGAAGGCTCTGGTTATTAGAAGTACATGTGTTCTCCCATGGCCACTTCTGATAACCAATTCCCCCCCCCCAAACCACTTTTTTTGTAAAGAGAACCATTGTCTTCCAGCTATCATCACACCCCCTAACACACCCCTACATGAGTACAGACTCGTGTAGCATAACTTAAACACCATAATTCTCCACTTTGCCTATCCCCTCCATCTTAAGGACACAGAAATTTTTGAGAAAGAAAACCTGCAGGATGAACTTAATCCTCACCATAGGAATCAGTCTTTATAGGACAGAGTAGCTACGACACTTTTAATTGTATTTCTCTTTTTTTTTCCTTGTGCTACATGGCTACAGCTTTAAAAGTTAGCTCAGAGACTGTTTATGCCTTCAGACCTTAGGAGATTAACTAAACTGAGTAGTAGTACTAATCACTGAGGGACTGACTAAACCAATTAACCACTTTCAAGGAACTCCTCCATCTATCCTGAAAAACTGGTCTTACTACCGTTTACCATTGCTGGTGCTTGGCATTCTATCAGTAAACAACACATGAAGACCTGTACTGGGGGAAGGATGGGAGGCAGCTTATTCCTGGACTATACTGCAAAAGAAAGTTGTTAACTGTCAGGCCCTTCTGGACAGAAAACACGCGAGACTCTCAGGGTTCACGTAACAGAAAATCTTAAAGAGCGGT